GTGATTTTCTTTTGGGGTCTATCCTGCATGGTGTTTTTCACTTCTTGAATATGCATCTTCTCATCTTTAATGATGTTAGAGATGTTTTCTTCCAACAGCTCTTTAACAATTATTTCTAGATTTTTTTGGTCTCTGTTCTGGAATTCTGACTACCCAAAAGTTATTCCTTTCATGGGATCTCACATAAATTTTAGGCTTTATTCAGACGTTTCCTTTTTCTCTCTGATTGTTATTCTAGTTCACTAGTATTGAGAGATTTATCTTTAAGCTCTCTAACTCGGGATTCCATTGAGTCAAATCTACTCTTTTACCCTTTTAATGTATTGTCCATTTCTGAAATCTTAGAATTAATCTGAATTTCTTATGGCAGGTTTTGTATGGTTCAAAAATTTCAATTAATAATTGGTCCCAAATTCCTCCAAAAATTTTTTTCTGTGTTCTCCATGCTTTCCTCGATCTTTCTCTCAATCCACTAAAATTACCTAAATGTCACTCTTCCAAATTCTTCCTTAGGCATTTCCATTACCTTTTCTTCCTTAGAAACATTTACTGGCTCTGCATCTTGGACATTTGTTTGAATCACTCTCTCATTTTTTCTTGTGAACTGAAATTGTCTGTTGTTTGTGAGATGTTGTGAGACACTGTATATTAGTTGATGACTGTACGTTGGTGTATTCTTAAGTCTCATCAACTGCCTCCTTCCTGGTGGGTGTAATTAGAGAATAGAAGTGTGTGCTCTGCTTTCCATTTGCCACTTGTGCAGCTTAGGTTAGGGTAGGTTTGGTTGGTGTTGGCTGGTGATCAATTGGTATTGATTCTTGCCCAGTGGGAGGAGCTGCAGAGGACAAAGTTGTGTCTGGATTGTGTGAGCATGGATTCTGTCTCTTTTCAGGTGGGACAAGAAGAGAACATACACACACTCAAGAAAATAAAACAAAGCAAATAATGAAACAGTAGTGAAAAAAGAAAAGAATAAAGGAAAAATAAAAAGAAAATAAAACAGCAACAAGGAAAAAAAAATAATATCCAAGAAGAAACAAGAGGAACAGTAAAGTGAGTTATAGAACAGAAAAATAGGAGAGAGAGAGGAAAAACACACACAAAAAGACCTAAAAAAATAGAGAACCAGGGTGAGGGAAGGTGAAAAAAGAGACTAGAGAGCAGTAAAGATCAAGTGAAAAACAAAACAAAAACAGCAAAAATAAGAGGAATAAGTGGAGAAATTAAGCAAAAGATAGAAAAAACAAAAGGAGAGGCAGAAAAGATTTTGAAAAAGGGAAGGGAGAGAGAGGAAGGACAAGAATGAACTAACAAAGGAAAACAATGAAATGTGAGAAAACCAAACAGTGTAGGTGCTGGACTCAAGAGAGCAGAAAACTCTAGGGGGCTCCTGTTAGATAAGGAGCTCACGATGTGGCTGGGGAAGGGGTGAAATGGTAGTGTTCCTTGCCCTATATGGAGTTCCTACAGACCCAGGTATTGTCCATCTGGATCAAAGGGTTGCCAGGGGCTGGGCCAGTTTGAGGCTGATCAGGTGATTCTGTGTAGGCTCTGTATAGCTGGAGCAGAACCTGCTCAAATCCAAGTGCCAAGGTATCCTTCTCCAGCGACTGGTCCCTCCTGACAATATGTCCAAAGTATGAGAGACGAAGTTTGGCCATCCTGGCCTCAAAGGAGCACTCTGGCTGCACTTCTTCCAACACAGATCTGTTGGTTCTATGGGCAGTCCATGGCACTTTCAGTATTCTCCTCCAACACTGTAACTCAAAATCTACAGTCTTCCTTATTCACTGTCCAGCTTTCGCATGCATATGAGGTTATTGAAAATACCATGGCTTGGGTCAGGTGCACCTTAGTCCTCAAGCTGCCATCTTTGCTCTTCAACACTTTAAAAAGATCCTGTGCAGCAGATTTGCCCAAATGCAATACATCGTTTGATTTCTTGACTGCTACTTCCATGAGTGTTGATAGCTGATCCAAGAAGAATGAAGTCCCTGACAACTTCTATCTTTTCTCCGCTGATAAGAATGTTGTTTATTGGTCCAGTGGTGAGGATTTTTGTTTTCTTGACATTGAAATGTAACCCATACCGAAGGCTGTGCTCTTTGATCTTCATGGTAAATGTTTTAAGTCCTCTTCACTTTCAGCAAGCAAGGTTGTATCATCTGCATATCACAGGTTGTTAATGAGTCTTCCTCCAATCCTGATGCCACGTTTTTCTTCATATTACCTAGCTTTTTGGATTATTTGCTCAGCATACAGTTTAAATAAGTATGGTGAAAGAATACAACCCTGTCTCACACCTTTCTTAATTTTAAACCATTCAGTATTCCCATGTTCTGTTCAAACAACTGCCTCTTGGTCCGTTTACAGATTCCTCATGAGCACAATTAAGTGTTCCAGAATACTCATACTTCGCAAATGTTGTCCATAGCTTGTTATGATCCACACAATCGAAAGCCTTTGTGTAGTCAATAAAGCACAAGTAAACATCTTTCTGATCTTCTCTGAATGAGTATAGACCTGTAAAGTTTAAAAACCTCGAACAAAGTGACAGTTTTCAGTTTTCTTTAGATGTATGGATATTATCCTATCACAGGCAGCACTGTACTTCAAGATTGATCTTGAAATGTTCTTTTTGATGCTATTTCTCTTCAATTTAACATTACTGGCATAGTAAACCATATATGATAGTCTGAGTCAAAATTGCTAATACTTATTCAATTTACTAATGCTTAGGATATTGATCTTTATGCTTTTCATTTAATTTAGTCAACTTCCAGTTGAAAATATTTTGTACATTACATGTTTTGCATATTATGTGAGTTGTGCTCCATCAGCAAATGAAGGTCTGGAATTCTTTGCTGCATCCACATCATTAGGCCAACTCTATTTTGAGAAAGCATCTCTTCCACAATTGTATTTTGAATGCAATCTAACCTGAGGGTCTCATCTTCTGGCAGTGCACCAGACAATGTTCCACTGCCATTAATGAGGCTTTCAGTGGCTGGTCATTCCAAAGTTGTCCACCTTTCTTTCTTCCTAGTCTGTCTTAGTCTGGAAGCTCTGCTGGTATCTGAAATACTGGCAGCATAGCTTCTAGCATCACAAGCCACCACAGTGTGACAAACTTACAGAAGAGTGGTGGAGACACATTGCTATTGTTGTTGTTAAGTGCTGTCAAGTCAATTTTGACTCATAGTGACCTTATGTATGGTTCCCAAGGAGCAGCTGGTAGGTTTGAACTGCCAACCTTGCGGTTTGCAGCTCAATTTGTAACCACTACGCTACCAGAGCTCCTTCCAGGTATCAGTAGCAAACATTAATAAATACTTGCCCCCATTTTTCGTTGAACTATGTTGGTGGCAAAGAACAGTGAAGATACCATCTGCTTCCAGAAGGACAAACAAAATGTTTTAGAAGAAATATAACTAGAAGTCTTCTTGGCAGCAAGGGTAGTGAGACTTCAGCTCACTCACTTTAAACATATCATCAGGATAGAACAATCAGTAGAAAAGGACATCATGGCTGCTAGAGCGTCAGCAAAATGAAAGAATCCCTCAGTGAGCTGGACCGACACAATAGTTACAGCATGGAACTTCAACATAACAACAAACACGAAGATGACACAAGATTGAGTCACATTTCCTTCTGCTAACCATATTATTGCTGTGAGTCAGAGCTGACCTGATGGCACCTAGCAATTTTTCATTAGGAAAAGTAATGAGTCACGGAAACAGGTTTTAACTTATGCTACCAAGGTTCATAGTTAATTGTTTAGAGACCAGACATGGGACTGAGGAGGTACATGTTTTATATAGAATTCCCCAGGAGGATTATATTTATTGTCTGAGTGATAGCTAACCTGAGAATGTATTCTATTAATGTCCTCTCTCTTTCACTCTGTTTCATCTCCTTTCTGGTGTTTTCAGGTGTTATTTCTTGAATAAACTACTTTAACTTGAATCCTTATTTCTGGGTCTGCTTCTGGGAGAACAGAAACAAAGCTACGTATTTTTGCAAACACTGGACACATTTGCATGAGAATCTAGGCAATATATTACGTTCTTAAGTGTGATTATGCTATTGGGGTTATAGCCCTGCTCTTGGGAGATTCCTGAGGAAATATATAGTTGCAAAGTTTGATGTAACTTATTTTCAGGTGGTTTATCCAAAAACATGGAGAAAGAAGATAGAGCAACATATTTGCAATAGGTAAATCAAGGTGATGAGTATGTGAATATTCATTTTTATGTGTGTGTGTGTACTTTCAAATTTTGGATGAATTTGATATATTTCAAAATTAAAAGTTGGGAAAAGATGTAAACATTTCTTTGGGTCCTGAGGTAGACGTAAAATATACTTGTGAGGAAAATGACGTTATTAGTTTGCCTAGGGTCATGTAGTCAGCATAAGAAAAAAGGCACGTGAATAAGTGGAGGACCATGTAGATTCCTTGTCAGATATTTTGTATGGGGGCAGGGGCTGAAGAGGTGGGGTAGCAGGAAGAGTTCTTGAGCATGACCAATTTTAAGCCTAAGGTGACTCAATTAAGTAATTGGGCTGGTGAAACCTCAATTGGTCTGAATCAGCTTTCCACTAGGGGGCAGAATTGAGCACTCACGTAGGAGGGCAATACAGCTAGAATAGTTCAAAGTGACACCATAAACAAATTGAATAGTGAAAACAGTTCAATAGTGAATCTTAAACATTTGGGCCTATTTTGTTTTCCGTTTTGAATTTATTGAACAGGATTGCCCCTTGAATCTGACACCTTTTCTTTATCTTTTTTTTCCTGCTTTAATTAGACCTTGGGAGTTCTCTTTGTTTCCCTTTAGCCATACGTACTGGCCTTTCCCAGGGAAGCAACTAAGAAAAGTTTTAATTAATTGACTAAAACAATGTTCAATGACATTTGAGAGTCTGGTTGATAAGAAGGACAGGTATAACCATGAGACGCAGCCACAGTTATAATTAACTTAAATGTTGGGAAACGTACCATGGTCCCCAACAAGGTATACTTGTTTTGTCTCAAAGGACATTGTCTCAAGATTTCAACAAAGCATATGACAATAACATTTGGTTTCTAATGATTAGATGATTAAATCTGCAACCCTAAAATACAGAGAATAAAAGTATACTGTTGGGAAAGCTGTTCTCATCTTGGCGGTTGCTCTGAGCCTTCTGGGCTGGCATGTCCGCACTGCTGTGGGGCTCTATGGGTTGGCCCAGGCCCTGTGGGCCTTGAACCAGACCCTGACTCAGACTGGGAGGAGCGGGAGCTGCAGGGGGTGGAGAGGTGCCAGCTCCTTCCTGGGCTCTCAGCCTGAGGCAGAGCCTCACTCTGGTGCTCCAGCCCCATGGCGTCTCCGCAGGGACCCTAGTTTGTTTTCCCCTGACTGGGGCTCAGGGGCAGGTGTGCAGCTATCTTCAGTATTTCGAACCCCGTTTAGAGTTCGGCATGCTTCTGGGCCATGGTGGGGTGTTAGGTTGCTGGGACTCGACAAGCAGCTCTAGACCGGCACACAAGGCCCACGGGCCCTTCACTTACTGAGAGAGCAGAGGGCTGGGCGCCCTTTTAGGTAGTCTGAGGCGCTCCAACCAACTCGGGTGCTTCCAACGCATGGCCTCTGCTATCGGTTCTCTCCCTTAGAGCCCTGAAACACCAGAAAAAAGCAAGGCAGTTCCAGAGAATTCGGAGGCAGCTGGAGGCGTCAGCCGTCCCCACTCGACCCTGACAGGAAAACCTGAAGCAGATCCGGTATTTACATAAGGAATTTGCAGAGTCCTGGGCAGTTCTCAGATTGGCTGAAGGCTTTGGTGTCAGCACCATGTGATCCGAAGAGTTTTT